CCCTGAATGTCCCTAAGTGTCCCTGAGTGTCCCTAAATGTCCCTGCCTGTCCCTATGTGTCACTTAGTGTCCCTAAATGTCCCTGTGTGTCCCTGTGTGTCTCTGAGTGTGTCTAAATCTCCCTGAGTGTCCCTGCGTGTCCCTGAGTGTCCCTAAATGTCCCTGCCTGTCCCCGTGTGTCACTTAGTGTCTCCTTAAATGTCCCTGTGTATCTCTGTGTGTCCCTAAATGTTCCTTTGTGTCACTGAGTGTCCCTACCTGTCCCTGTGTGTCACTTAGTGTCCCTAAATGTCCCTGCTTGTTCCTGCTTGTCCCTGAGTGTCCCTGCTTGTCCCCGTATCCCCCTGAGCATCCCTAAGTGTCCCTGGTGCCCCTGCTTGTCCCTGAGTGTCCCTGTGTGTCCCTGAGTGTCCCTGTGTGTTCCTGAGTGTCCCCAAATGTCCCTCTGTGTCACTTAGTGTCCTTGAGCATCCCTAAATGTCCCTTTGTGTCCCTGAGTGTCCCTAAATGTCCCTGTGTGTCACTTAGTGTCCCTAAATGTCCCTGCATGTTCCTGCCTGTCCCTGAATGTCCCTAAGTGTCCCCAAATATCTCTGTGAGTCCCTGAGTGTCCCCGAGTGTCCCTGCTTGTTCCTGCATGTCCCTGTGTGTCCCTAAATGTCCCTGTGTGTTCCTGAGTGTCCCTGTGTGTCACTTAGTGTCCCTAAATGTCCTTGAGTGTCCCTGTATGTTCCTAAATGTCCCTGTGTGTCCCTGAGTGTCCCTGCGTGTCCCACAGGCAGAGGGCGGGTCCCCATTCCCGGAGGGGTTTGGGATGATTGGATTTGGGATATTGGGGTAATTCCTCCTAAAAATGGCTCTCCAAGGCAGTGGGGGGATCCCCATCCCTGGAGGGATTCCCAGCCCTGTGGAGGTGACACTTGGGGACATCCCAGGGGTGGCCTTGGCGGTGCTGGGGACACCTCAGAGGGATTTCCCAAGGGAAATGTCCCATCAATATGGTGACCCCTCCTGTCCCTGAGCACGGTCCTGCCTGGCTCAGGACACCCTGTGGTGTCCCCAAGGTGACTGTGGGTGGCCCTGTCACTGTCACTGTCCCTGTCCCAGGCTGGCAATGTCCCCGTGATCTTTGACGAGCACCACCTGAGTGAGGTGCAGAACACGGCGTCCGAGGAGAAGCTGGACCGGGTGGTGGACTCCATGAAGGAGAGCAAGGTGGCCCTCATTGGTGAGCCCCTGGCCAGCGTGGCCTTGTCCCTGTCATTGTCACCCCCTGTCACCCCCTGTCCCCTCAGGCTGTGCCAGGGGAGGGTTCTGTGGGACGTTGGGACAATCCCCATGTCCTGACCCCGCTCCGTGTCCTGCAGGGAAGATCCACACACCCATGGAGTACAAGGGAGACCTGGCGTCCTATGACATGAGGCTCAGGTGGGGGAGTTAATTAATTAATTCATTAATTAATCATTAATGAGTTATGGGGGAGAGGAAAAGGCTGAGGGATTCCGTGCGGGCTGGGAAACAAAATTTCAGTGGGACCCTGAGGGGTCCTGCAGAGGGGGTGACCCCAATTGTGTCCCCTGGCAATTGCAGGGCACAGTCACTGGGGATAAAACATTAATTATTAATTAATGAGTTATTGGGAGGCAAAGCTCCATAGCCAAGAGCTGTCCCTGCTTGTCACTGGGAAAACCCTGTTAATTAATTATTAATGAGTTATTGGGAGGCAAAACTCCATAGCCAAGAGCTGTCCCTGCTGACTGATCCTGCTTCCCTGGAAATTCTGGAGATGCTGGGATGGATCCCAGAATTTGTCACTGGGAAAACCCTGTTAATTAAAAATTAATGAGTTAATTGGGAAGCCAAACTCCTGTGGGATGATCCATAGCCAAGAGCTGTCCCTGCTGATTGATCCTGCTTCCCTAGAAATTTTGGAGATGCTGGGGTGGATCCCAGAATTTGTCAGTGGGAAAACCCTGTTAATTAATAATTAATGAATTATTGGGAGGCAAAACTCCATAGCCAAGAGCTGTCCCTGCTGATTGAGCCTTCTTCCCTGGAAATTTTGGAGATGCTGGGGTGGATCCCAGAACTCATCACTGAGAAAACCCTGTTAATTATTAATTAATGAGTTATTGGGAAGCAAAACTCCTGAGGGACCAGCAAGACCCCAGGGACTTGGAGGGGACAGTCACTGTGGATAAAACATTAATTATTAATTAACGAGTTATTGGGAGGCAAAACTCCATAGCCAAGAGCTGTCCCTGCTGATTGAGCCTTCTTCCCTGGAAATTTTGGAGGTGCTGGGGTGGATCCCAGAACTCATCACTGGGAAAACCCTGTTAATTAATAATTAATGAGTTATGGGTCCTGAGGGACCGTCCTTGGCCAGGAGCTGTCCCTGCTCACCCTGGGGTCCTGCAGAGAGGGGTGACCCCAAGGACTTGGAGGGGACAGTGACTGGGGATAAAACATTAATTAATATTATTAATGTCATTATTAATTAATGAGTTATTGGGAGGGAAAACTCCTGAGGGACCATCCCTGGCCAGGAGCTGTCCCTGCTGACTGAGCCTGCTTCCCTGGAAATTTTGGAGATGCTGGGATGGATCCCAGAACTCATCACTGGGAAAACCCTGTTAATTAATTATTAATGAGTTAATTGGGAAGCCAAACTCCTGTGAGATGATCCATGGCCAAGAGCTGTCCCTGCTGATTGAGCCTGCTTCCCTGGAAATTTTGGAGGTGCTGGGGTGGATCCCAGAATCGGTCACTGGGAAAACCCTGTTAATTAATAATTAATGAGTTAATTGGGAAGCCAAACTCCTGTGGGATGATCCATGGCCAAGAGCTGTCCCTGCTGACTGAGCCTGCTTCCCTGGAAATTCTGGAGTTGCTGGGGTGGATCCCAGAACTCATCACTGAGCAAACCCTGTTAATTAATAATTAATGAGTTATTGGGAAGCCAAACTCCTGAGGGACCATCCCTGTGCAGGAGCTGTCCCTGCTCACCCTGGGGTCCTGCAGAGGGAGGGTGNCCTCGGCCGCCCTCCTGCAGCAGGCACAGGCCAAGGTGAGCAGGGGATTTGGGGGGCATAAAAAAGGCTCAGGGGGGAACTTCTGACCCCCCAAAACCCCCTGAGAGGATGGGGGAGGTTTGGGAAAAGGCCTCAGGTGGGGGATATTGGCATGATTCCTTTTTGGGGGGGGGTCTCTGGGGGTTATCCCAGCCAGAAAATTCCCAGATTCTGTGGGAATATGGCTGAGGGAAGGGCTCGGTGTGACCTTGAGGCGCTGCCCTTCCCTCAGCTCTGCCTGCTGCTGTTTCACATTTGTGCTCTGGACATTTGATTCCAGCTTATTTAAAGCTCCCTGGTTGTGGCTCTCAGTTTTCCTTCTCTCCTTCCCTGTTCCCTCTGGGGGTTGGAGTTTCCCTGGCATTGCTGGCAGGGAATTCCCTGCGCTGGGATTGGGGGGTTCCACAGGGAATTCCAGGCTGGGCCATGAAAATGGGGCTTGGTAAAATTCCAGGGGGTCCTGAGGGCAGGGAGAAGGAATTGGGGGATTTAGGAGCACCAGGCTGTGCTGGAATATTGGGGAAAATTGGATATTGGGGAAATTCCTCCTGGAAAGAGAAATGGGGAGTCCTCATTCCTGAATTTGGGTGGGATATTGGGGAAATTCCTGCTAAAATGGCTGTCCAAAAATTCCATGGGATCCTGAGGGCAGGGAGAAGGAATGAAGGGATTTAGGAACACAGACTGTGCTGGGAAATTGGAGAAATTCCTCCTGGAAAGAGAAATGGGGAGTCCTCATCCCTGGATTTGGGTGGATTATTAGGGAAATTCTTGCTAAAAACGGCTGTCCAAAAATTCCATGGGATCCTGAGGGCAGGGAGAAGGAATGAAGGGATTTAGGAGCACCAGGCTGTGCTGGAATATTGGGGAAATTCCTCCTGGAAAGAGAAATGGGGAATCCTCATTCCTGGACTTGAGTGGGATATTGGGGAAATTCTTCCTAAAATTCCTGTCCAGAATTCCATGGAATCCTGAGGGCAGGGATGGATGAGGGGATTTAGGAACACCAGGCTGTGCTGGAATATTGGGGAAAATTGGATATTGGGGAAATTCCTCCTGGAAAGAGAAATGGGGAGTCCTCATCCCTGAATTTGGATGGATATTAGGGAAATACATGCTAAAAATGCCTGTGCAAAATTCCAGGAGTTCCTGAAGGCAGGGACCAGGAATGAAGGAATTTAGGAACACTGGGCCATGCCTGGATATTGGGGAAATTCCTCCTGGAAAGAGAAATGGGGAGTCCTCATCCCTGGATTTGAGTGGGATATTGGGGAAATTCCTGCTAAGATTCGTGTCCAGAATTCCATGGGATCCTGAGGACAGGGAGAAGGAATGAAGGGATTTAGGAGCACCGAGGTGTCCCTGGATATTGGGGAAATTCCTCCTGGAAGGAAAAGGGGAGAATCCTCATCCCTGGTGATATTTTTGGGTGGGATATTGGGGAAATTCCTCGTAAAATTCCTGTCCAGAATTCCATGGGATCGTGAGGGCAGGGAGAAGGAATGAAGGGATTTAGGAGCACTGGGGTATCCCTGGATATTGGGGAAATTCCTCCTGGAAAGAGAAATGGGGAGTCCTCATCCCTGGAGAGATTTGGGTGGGATATTGGGGAAATTCCTCCTGGAAAGAGAAATGGGGAATCCTCATCCCTGAATTTGGGTGGATATTAGGGAAATACATGCTAAAAATTCCTGTCCAAAATTCCAGTAGGTCCTGAAGGCAGGGACCAGGAATGAAGGGATTTAGGAACACTGGGCCATGCCTGGATATTGGGGAAATTCCTCCTGGAAAGAGAAATGGGGAGACCTCATCCCTGGATTTGGGTGTGATATTGGGGAAATTCCTGCTAAAATTCCTGTCCAGAGTTCCATGGGATCCTGAGGGCAGGGAGAAGGAGTTGGGGGATTCAGGAGCACCAGGCTGTGCTGGGAAATTGGGGAAATTCCTCCTGGAAAGAGAAATGGGGAGTCCTCATTCCTAGATTTGAGTGGGATATTGGGGAAATTCCT